ATGATTAGATTACAACACTTCCCAGGATATGGTCAACCACACCATTTTAGTCTCAGAGATATTACACAACATAGAGACTGTGGACTGAACCAAAAATAATGCTGTTGGTCTGCCAATATGGCAGCAACACATTCAAAACCGAGACCCTCAAAGCTTGCAAAGTAAAAATATTCCTTGACTGAGACTTCGTGTGCATATTACACAAAGTACAGCAATCCAAAAACACTCGTTCTGCTGTAGAGCATCCTGCTGTGCCATGCAACAGTTTTGAACGATTCAATAACATTTAATCACTTAGGTGAACCAATGATAATCACTAGCAATACCCTTGCGATTACTTCAAACAAAAGGAAGACCTCTGGAACACTTAAAATGTTTTATATTTACCAAGTTCAGTACAAGGATGTTCCAGCGGTCTACAGTAGGAACTACCTCCCCTGAGCTTCACTTGAAAACATACGCACAATGAATGCAATTAAATTACTGTGTTACTTTCTTTCTACTGCTTACACAGTACACAGAAAGTATTGTACTGCTGCGAGTCAAAACGTAAATGGCACAAGGGTGCTCAGTCCACATCAAAAAAATTCAGAAATGCACGGAATTCAGAAATGCGAGGTTATCTGGGGGCACCAACACAAATTACCTGCAATTCTAAACATCACTTGTTCTAAGTTGCCTTTTTAGGTCTATTAAAACCTAGAAATTTAGAACCCCTGTTGAAATTTCTGTGTAAAACACTGGAACAGACTTAAGATCAAAGGAGTGGTGTGGTAAGCTTCTGCATTCATAAAGGTAAACAGAAATAATAACATGCAAATTATTAAGAATAATTTAATTGTCTTCTTTCCATTTTAATACTGAATGCAAAGGTTCAGTCATTCAAATTCCAAAAAGTGAAACATAAAGTATATAAATTAATTTCACTAATTGGATTGCTTCCAGTAGCTGTGTATATTTTCAGTCAGGTGCTACTGCATTCATTAACACTCAAATGCAGCAAAAATCTCCAGTGCAGTTCACTTACATTTCTTCATAGAGATATCAAAAATACCATTGATAAAATTGAAGATTGAATAAAGAGAAGTATGCACTTGAGATAAATTGCAAAACATTTACAAAAATGTCAAACCAAAATCTTACAACAAAGAAATTGCATCACATTCAGGAAGAAACAAAACATTCACACAAACAGGAACCTAATGTTTTGACCCAAGAACACATGATATTTAGTCGTCTTTCTTACATATACTTCATATGCATAGCTGTGAAATACTACAATACTATAGTTGTGTCTTTTGAATTTAAAATTATGCAAAAACCTACCTCAAAATAGAACACTGCAATTAACAAAGGAAATAGAGACCAATTGTGAAAAATATCAGTTTGTTGTATATTCCAATCAAAAATAGTGTAAAATTAATCATGGTGGTTGAAGTTATACCTTCAGTGATCAAATGTAACGTGTAGTAAAAGCATTGACAATAATCTTTTCCAAAAAAGTTAATAATTATCAAAAGATACTGAAATATTACCTCTTAATACAACTGTGTAACAGTTGAAGCAATAAAATAATGTTTAGAGAAATACATTTAGTTATTTACTATAGAAGATTTAAAAAGCTTTCACTTGCTAAATATAATAATTAGAAAAACTATTTGATGGGTTTAAATTAATTAAAAATCAAATGTAGATGTACCAAACAGAAATTAATAAAATGCATGTATGTCAATTTTTACATGAAATAATTAAAATAAGTGCACTTCACTAAAAATAATTCTTGAAAAGAAATGAAATACATGATTTTTCATTTAATCATTTTAACTTTTGGAAAACCTCAAAGGATTAGTAACTTATTATACAATATTGATGTATCTTAAAATGGCAGATCTCATAAATAAATATTTTAACGGTGATATATTCCTCTATTTACACATTTACCTTTTGAAACTTGATTTTTGTAGCACTACTCAATGATCTTGATCAAATTGTGAGATAATTTTTTATCAAAGTTACAATAATTTCACAACATATACATATGCAAGTGTATACATGAATTTTAAATATGTGTAAACATAAAAACTCCATGTGCACATGTTAATTTATGTACATAAACGCACACACAACATATAAATCATGTCTTAGATTTAGAAATTTCTTATTTCATGAATATGTAATGGTTTAAGTCTGAAACATTTTCTATTTCAGAGTTTATATACCCATTTTGGATAATGTATGAATTCACTGGCTAAATTGTGAATTTTGTCCAGAACATACTCAACAAAAGAGACTAATTATTTCTAAAAGTTTCTTTTCATAAGATTGCAGTGAAATTTGCCTTGTCCCTGAAGGGTGTATGATTAAAATGCTCAGATAACTCATTTATTTTGCTACTAAACTTGAAATTAAAATTTTTGGTTTTTCCTTAAACATATAATACTTAATTTATAATTATCAACATTTCATGTAAGACACTATGGAGCAATGCATCATTCTGAAAATAGCACCCACTTTGATCCACACAATCACATACATTTATCTAGGTTAATCAACTTTCTACATTTCATTATCAACACTTCAAAGTGTGACAATACTAATAACATATAGTTGTGACCTTTTCTGAATATAGTTTTGAAACAATTTGGCACAGTTTGATGCCACAAATACATAGTAATAAAAATGTTCAAAATACATGAATGTATGTGCCATTTCCTACACGCAAGATGTTTGTTTCATTAAATAAGTGAATTTTTGACAAGAAATCTTTTTCAACAGCAAGTAGATTTGCAGAGAAAGTTAATGATTTGTAATTTGTGAATTTTATAATATTATTTAAATGTTTACTGTGATAATTTTAATTACTAATACAAAGCATGTTGGATACCATCTACCCTCATGAAATATTTCATTGAATCTGATCAATAATTATGTGGTTCATATTGTTTAATTTCAAGTAAAATGACAATGTTTTCAAACATTGAAACTGCATTAATTTTTGAAATCGTTTTCTAAATGAAATGCAATATATTCGTATGTTTGCAGAACAGTAAGAAATAATGCCTTAAAATATTTCATATTAATCTGTAATTTATCATTCAGAGAGAAAAAAAATAGTTCAAAAGAGTGAAAAAGATTGAAAATTAATTGCATGCAAGCCTTCCCAGTAAAGTAAAAATAAAGATACTAAATCCAATTCTTAAATATATTCAACATGTGGTAGTATGTAGGCCTATCTCACCGAGGCTAGGAATCTACACTTACATCAGGGGACAAATTACTACATAAAAAATCTATGGAAAACTTTTTTTTTGTTCAGTGATGAGCCAGAAATTCTCTGCAATCAATTATAATCAAGAGTAGTCTTTCCTAACCCAACATTATTGTAAGTCCATGCAGCAAATCTCTTTACATTACAGATCATGTAATACAAAGATGTGTCTAAAATTTAGATATATCTGCATACTGATATTAAAATAATCAAAGTAATTTTAGTAATGGTATGAAATAAGAATCATGCTCTTCTGATTATGCATCTGTAAATAAAACTCCTTTTTATTTGCACTTTTCACTATCTCATTTGTGCAACTAATATTTAATGAACTTGACTTGTATGAAACCAAACTAAGCATTACAGACAATATTAACTTAGCATCTGCCATACCCAGTCATAGGCTAAAGGAAATTAAATTTGCAGTTAAAGTTTCCACATTCTTGAAATTAGTCAATCATAAACATATTTTTATATATGGATGTTTTTAAAGTTTTCTTAAATAAAAAAATAAAAAAAAAAACCTTTGCCTACGCCTTTTGCCTACAGATTAAATCAATAAAAAAATTATTTAATGCCTAAATTGATTTTAACAAAACACGTATTTCTTTCTTAATAATTTGATACTATTACAGACAGTTGACCTTCTCGCTTACCAATGTGAGTGTGTTTTACAAAATTTTTAATATAGATCAGCAATAAGCAAAAAAGAACCCAGCAATTATGAAGAACTGCATTAAGTCCTCATAACACCTGTAGGAAGTTATGACAAATACATCATTTAAATTAGTTTTGAGAAAAATTACATTTCTGAAGTACAAGGCTTACAAATTTTGAAATACTTTACTATGAAAACAATTTTTTATGAAAAATTAAATAGCAAGAATGGTTCAACAAAGAGGATCAATTATTTAAATCATTTTCAGAAACAATTTCAGATTTTATATGAATCTTACTAGTGCACTGACATATACCTGACATTGATTCATATATAACTCCGTCCTACCTATAGTCTAACATGAAAAGTGTTTCACAATTTCCTCAGAGCTGAGCCTCAATAAGCTGTGTAAGCTTTGAAATGTGGTTGTCTTGTTCAAGATATCCAATGGCAACTCGAAATGACATCAGTGTGAGAAAAAAAACACCTGTAAAACTAACTTGAACATCTACAGAAAATGAACCCAGAATGGGTGTCATCACCTGATGTCAGAGAAAAATCACTTAGGGACCGTCCATAAATTATTTAAAGCAAATTTTGAGCATTGTGAATGCCCCCTTCTCTCCTCTAACACAGGCGTGAACCTCCTTAAATAATTATGTATAATTCATGATGAGACTCCCCCATTTACAATAAATAGAAATAAGTAACAAAGCAGAAACAAAAGGTTTATTAATTTTATTAATAATATATCAATTATATATTAAAATGTATCTATTATTAAAATGTATCTATTAATATGTCAAAGTGTTGGCAACTCAGAATGCTTCTAATAATAAAATTGAAAGCAATTTTTGATTGAAGAAAGAAGAATTAGATGGAAAAATTTCTGAAAATTCTGTGCACACACCTTCATGGATGACGCATGGGCTATAAGTCTACTGCGCTAATTTAATTGAAATATGCTGTACATCAGATTTGAATATTTTCTTCATAATTTAATAGATACAATTCATATACCATTGACATAATACTTCCATTATTTTATAACAATTCATATCATAATTTATTTGTATTTTTTAAATTTAATTTGTTAATATTTTAGTATAAGGTTGAATAAAATGAATTATTTCAGTAAATGTTGAAACATTTTGAAAATAAATTTCAGTGTTATGCAACACTAAATCATTATCCCCCTCAACCCCATGCCACAAACCCCTCCCCTTCTTTAGATTTACATAATTTATGGACGACCTCTTAGGAAGGTTTATTTCACATCCTCACAGAAGGTGGAGAGATCAACTGCCATACCTACACAAGCTTTGTCTTGGATCATGTCAATGGCTCAAAACATAATATACTAGATGGTTAGAGAGTGGATTATGTGTAAATTGCATTACAATGCACACTTTTCAGTGTTGCACTTATTTAATTTTTATTGACACATTCACTGAAGAAATAGGTCTTGTAAATTGCATGGGAAATTTCTCAGAAGCAAAGTTGTATTCCATTCAGAGAACATTGGGATATAATAAACACTGAAAATGCCATCTTATTCACTCCATTTCTATTCAATTTTCATAACATTAAGAATGTTAAAGACATGAGATGAGATAAACTATCATACTTATGTCTCAAGACTATTTTTATTGCACATTTGAATTTTGTCTGCAAAGTAATTAAGATATACTGTGGGTGCACATTTGTAGTGGGTTTTTTCAAATCATATAATTTGCTAGAAAAAACAAACATTAGAACTCTGATTTGTTGATACCCTGGAGTGGCTTTGGCAAGTGAGAAAGTACCCTGCATTCTTTGTAAAATTCATAATTTTAGATTACTGTTTAAGTTTGAACTGTATTTCATTATGATTTTTTGTCTTGAAATGGAAGAAACATATATTAAGTGAATAAAACTTATTTTTATTCACGATGTACTAGCATATAATGTCACATTAATCTTTTGGGAGAGAAAAAATTGCATATATATGCAATTTGTAATTTCAATCAACTACAGCATATAACCCACTCTCTGTTAATGATGCTGAACTTCAATACAGAATAATTTCAAATGAATATTACCACTGTTAACTAAAATTTATTAGAATTTAGTTCAATTTCAATACCTTAAGTTACTCAGAGCAATTCTCTAACAGTATACCTGAGTAACTTCAGTCATTCTAGATTTATGTAAAATACATATCCAAACAAATAAATGGAAGTCATACATTAAAAATGCTACGTGCAATATGAAAACTTGAAATAATTTCAATTATTCAGATAATGTAAATAAAGGCCTTTGAAACCTTCCATGCCCATGTTAATAAACTCGCATTTTTATACTTTTGCCACATTGTTATACACGTAAAAAACAATTGATGGGTCACACTTGCAATTGCAGCTCAGTTCATTACATTCATTCTTACATAATTACAGGTCAAATCTTAATGCAAAATTCCAACCCCAAATGTACTGAAAACGTGTATAAAGGTTTGCTTTCAAACTGCAACAGGAATTAAGTCAACTTAATTTCACTCAATGCACAGAATTTATATGTACTGTGTTACCAGTAGCATTTGGCAGTGCTGACACGGCCAGATGAACAACCTTGTAAAGGAAATAAAATGCTTAAGGGGGGGACACAATGATACAAATTACAAACAGAACATACTTTTGAATTCAATACATGCTTTCAATCTACTCTGGTCATTTGTTTAAGAAGAAATTAGTGTAGGAATATCAATCAATAAAATCTTATGTGATTAATACTCTTTACTTACGTCACATAACTTTCAAAGCAAAGTTTGTTATTATGACTATGAAATCAACAATAATGATGATGACTGAAATGTGATTATAACAAAAGCAAATGGTCTTCATATACATATCTTTTTTATTTTTATTGTCATGCAAAGTGGCACTATCAAGGGCTGATTTACTGTATGAATAATGAACTAGTAGGTGCCCAGTGCATATGGCAAGTCTTAAATGATAAGATGAGAAAGGAGCTGCACTTTCTTTTTTCACAAACACTATGACTAACAAGATCTCCTTCTCTTTATCATATGTACAGGAACTGTTTATAAAATAATGAAAAATACAATACAATAATATGAGCAACTAAACACAATAAAGGGTTTGATCTTCAATGTACAAATAAAAATAAAACATTCAAGCAACAGTATGATCACTCACACATCACATGCTGAAATCTGCTCTTACAAATGGTAAAATCTTCAAAATTTTACATTGAATAGATTATTTTATGAAAAAGATTATTTTTTCCATTCTTAAACTAGTTACTTCTCAATGTTCTTCATGCCTCTAATTATAAAAAGTGGAAAATCACAGATAAAACTCATATCCATTCACATCAAATCATCATAAGTTGAAGTATTTTTAAAATGGCAAATGTCCGCCCAAAAAAGATGACAGAATATAAGTTTCAACATCGTCTTCAGGAAAACTTTCCTGAAAACAACACAGAGGCATTTTGAAAAAATCATCTAAAAAAGTCAAAATTATCTATCAATTTTTCCTCAAGGGCAGATAATAACCATTCATACAAAATCATTCATACAAAATAAAACAAAACTTGAACGAAGTTGTGTATACATAAAAGGCATCTTAAATAAAGTACCAACAATAGTGAAGAATAAACTTCTTTGTACATAAAACGTAGTGAAATAAAGGCTTACTACAAAATAATGAGTATTTATTCTGAAACAACTTCAATATTGTGAGCTTAGAAAAGTCCCTCTAAAATGACTGCAAAATCAGCCAGTTGGCTATCACTGCAACCGGTATGTATAAATAGATATCACAAGTGCTTATTATGGGTTCATGAACGAAAGGATGTTTCCACATTGGTCCTTCGTATGCAGACTGAAGGATTCCACACAGCATCCTCAAATGAGGACAGCAAGGCCAATGATCTTTGGTCTGTGTTCTGTTCCCCAGACTGCTGGTTCCAAGTACCTGCAGCTACAAACAGAAATCTTCATCAGAGTGCTACACATACAGCATACTAAAAAATCATTGACAAATCATGACACTTCATGAATTGATGCACATCAATTCCAAAGCAGGGCTGGTTTTATGTGACAATCACTGAATGTAGTCATATAATCAAAATATGATATAATGAATTATTAAAATACATATGACTAACTCGTTTAACCCAGCAATACATTCTTCTAAAAAAGTACATTTGATTATTTATTTATACCTCATCCCCTCGCAATTATTCCAAAGAGAGATTATATTTGATTATTTATTTATACCTCATCATTATTCCAAAGAGAGATTTATGAGATCTTTGTCCGAGAGATGCCACTGTCCACCGTTAAAATCTCAGCTAAGAAAGCCTTTGTTTACAACAATATATATATATTCTACATTTCCCTTTCCATAAAACTAATTATCTTATTCATAATATTTGATAAGATAATTAGATTTACAAATGGAAAGGGAAAAGTAGAATTTCACTTCAAAGAAAATCCTAATGAATTAGTTAAGCATTAGCAATTTTGCAATTTGACAACAAAACAAACAATGCCAGTAAAAATATCCCATTATCTCAGTCACTTTCTGGCAATAATTTTAAATTTTATTGTTTTGATACAAATTCAAAGGGCCACTATGTCAGTCAGATCAATCATAAAATACTAATTTCAATGAAAATCCTATTCATGGTTTACCTGCTGGCGTTGTTCACCGACAGACAAATGTTTTAAATAACAACAATTACACTTTTCGATATTAGGGGACCCCAAAACATGTTTTCTTTTATATCTTCAAATTTATTTTCTACAGCATCATATAACTTTCTGTATTCTATAAATATTATTTCATAGGTAGGTGCATGACATGCATGACCATGTAAACATTTGCAACAAGAGTTCCAAACAATTTCAATTAAGGTATATTGATTGATTAGGGATTTTAATGGCTAAGATCATTATTCTCATAAGTGTGCATGTTTTTATTTCGGGAGGTTGCAGTAATCTTCCCCTGTTGGATGTCGCAATTTGGTGATAACCTACCCGCAGCATGCAGGGTTTCCCTCAACCAGGTATCTCCCAATAGTGGGGCACCGCCCCTGCTGGGACAAGCCCTAATGCCTAACTCACTTTCTGACAAGAGTGGTAATGCAGTATGTGTAAGAGTACATGCGTGTCGGTACAAGAAAGGAGTGAGGATAGCCCAAAGAAGTAGAAAGAAAGATCACACACGCGGTCTGTGACCTGTTTGATAGGGTACTGCTTCGGCATTCACCTAATGTCGATTAGTGAAACCATGGAAAACTACCAATCAGAAGAGCCAGCTGCTAAACTATTCCTCAATGTAGCAGCCACATTTAACCTAGCTGTCCAACTAGTGTCGAAAATTCTTCCACTGCTGGGGCTCGAACCCCAGGATCCCAGTCAGAATCAGATACATGTGTTAGAGAATGGGAGTACCTGGAGTTTGTGTGCACCAGTGTCAGTCTTCCTTGGTGGTGCCGGGAGCACCAGCAGCAGCCCATGCAGCGTGTCGCAGCGGCTCCTTGCTCAGCAGCGTCATCACAAAGCTGTGTAATCTGCAAAAGGAAAATGCTTCTATATAAACACAAGAAAATAAATCAGAGAGGCCACTCCTTTTCCTGGAACAAATTTCGCTGACTTTTCCAGTTTTCCCAGGATTTTTTTATTTTTTGCTGAAAAGTTTTGAAGAGTATTTTTCACTACTTAAAAGAATACAAAAGCAAATCTGATAATTATTTGTCAGCTCTCTGATTACACAACAATAAAGTACACCCTGTAAACCCCCATAAAGAACAACAAGAATGGTTTTAAAGCTCAGTTGAGGAAACGTCTGGAGGATGTCAGTAGCTTAATAATTATTGCACATATTCATATTTTTTTCAGATTGACTGACAAGTTACGAAAGGAAATATTGCAATGTATTTATCAGCATTTCTTTCTTTTCTACAAGTTTATTACGCACTATCACATTTACATAACACTTTAGAGAATCTTTGAGAATGAAAATATAAAATGACACGACACAGTCAAGACAATAAGAATCGATATTTATTGTGTTAAAGCAAAATACAAATGTTATAAAACACAAATAAAATTAATATTAAGTATGAAAGCCTACCGAGCTAATAGATCTCGCCGCACAGTTGCTGTGAACTTGTTAGTTAAGACAAGAGCCACTGCTCCTGCAAAAACTAAATTATAAAGTAGTACAATCTTGAAGTTGCCTAACCATCGGATCTTCCCAAAATCACCAAGAAGATCGAAGTTAGTGATCCCTACAAGAAAAAGAGAAGAAACATAAATTTTTATAATAATGGCTTGAAGAACATATTGCAACACTATACTGCAGCATGAAACAAAGTTGTGGCACAACTAGTACACATAAGTTTTAAAAAAGCTTTAATTGAAAGTGTGAGTTAAATATTTTTGCAAATGAATAAGAATGAAACAATGTAAATAATACAAAAATGTTGGCACCATTGGTTTATTCATTACTTCTTTCTCTACCCTGATTGTTATTGACATTTGGTACTCTTTTAAAACATAATTTCAGTTTTGATAGATACAAAATTATGAATCATTCAATTACAACTGGAAAATTGAATGACGTCTTAAAAGATAAGCATTTGTGACAAAGAGATTCAGGGCATCGTCTCTTCCAAATCTGTCTCTCATGGTCCTGAAGTTCTAATTATTTAATGATAATTTCTAATATCCAAGAGCATTAAGGAGTCAACAAAGTTAACATTGCAATATTTATGGTTACAACTAATAAATGACCAGGGGAGAGATAACCTCCGAGAGACAAGCGAATGCACTGAAAGAAAATAGTTGCTAAAAGAGAGTTAATAATTTGTGGCAAGTTGAGATCAATAGTTCTCTATGTAACTACAATTGTTCACCTAGTCCAAAACAATTTCTACAAAAAAATATTATAGCAAATTGTTGAATTTTCTCTATTAGAGAGTAATTATTAACAACTAAGAGACTGAAATATAGGAGTAAAATCCTCAGGTGACGTTATGTTTAAAAAATGATTATTATCTCTATTAATTCTCTTGATATCTTAAACCTCAATTAGTTGAAATATTCAATAATATTTCCCCTCTTCCTTTTCATCATTACATTCAAAGTTTTACTACTCCCATTATAAAATTTTTTAGAAATAAATTGAAAGCATCACGTATCACAGCATCACACATACAAACATGTAAACACTTCCACAAATCTCCCACAGTTATAGAACAAAAAGAGCCATTTGATTCTACTAAACATTGAATACCTTGTATTTGCCGTTTTTTATGTACATTCTCTGTGATTTTCTTAAGAATTGCATCTTATTTATACAATATGCCCTGGTTCCCAACAGAATTTCTCTTAATACATTCCTATTGACAAAAATGTCTGAAGGTGAAAGGTCATACCCAGGATCCGTGATAACAGGGGCAATGCTGAACTGAGCACAAGGAGCAGCGCACAGTTTGCCACAATGTGGGTGAAGGGTGTCTGTCCAACTCGGGGTCGCACCCGTGACAGCACTGGAATTGTGTACAGCCCAGCTGAAGATGTGGCAACCAAATATAGGATGATCACAATTTCCAATGCTGCACCCAGAGGGCCCAATTTTGACAATGAACTAATACCCAATGTGAAGTCCTGAAATATATATGTACAAAAACACATTATAGAATATTCATTATTGAAAACAATGTTCAGCTCAACTAATTGATTACTGAATTTGAAGAACAATATCTGCAAGTAATTTAATGATGTATCAGTACTTACATGCTGTGTAATTGGTAGAGCTTTCATGCCAATTAAGAGTCCTAATGAGTTTTGTATAACAATTAGAACTGTTAACATAGTTAGAGCGAGCAGCACCAACATGGCAACTGGATAAACCAAATTTCTCTGGAGAAATGATGTGTGACGTTGGCGGTCTACAACAAAAGAGGAAATATCCAGAAAAAACAGAAAAAACTGTTTAAGTAACTTGAAATTTTTCTGTCTTTTTCCTCTTGTCCTCATCTCATTAACGTTTGCAAGATAGGTAAACGTGTAAATACTCACAAAGAATGTTTGTTATTTAAACAGAAGTAACACTCACCAAGCAGCTGTCTATGGGTTCTCACATCTGCCAGTCTTGCTGACAATCTTGCAGTTAAAGCACCATTCTGCAATGCAGTCAACCCATTGGCACCTAAGATGTCATTATTGTCAAAACCACCAGTTGCCATGGGTGGAGGTCTAAGGTATGATTTACCAGTAGCAGACGCACATCCAAGTCGTCTTTGCACAGCACCTTCTTCGAGTTGAGCCACAAAAAATTCTTCATTGATATCTCTCAAGAACTGTGGTTTTACCAAAAACTGGCCCACAACAGCAAAAAGGTGCACAAATCCAAGAGGAGTACACACTGCAGGAAATATTCAAAATCAATCATTAAAGTTACAGTGAGTACATGTAATAAAAGTCACGAGTTACACAAGTGCCTGGAACATCTATCTGGCATAATAATTCAAAGATGCAAAATTACTCTGTGAATTATCCAAATTATTTCCTGTGGATTCTTTGTGTGTATTCATAAGAAATGCTTTCAATTTTTATCAGCACTTTTTGTGCATCTGTTATGAAAGAGAAATTTATAAAATAAATAAATGTACTTATTAACAGTGGATCTAAAACTTTAAAAGAGATAACTTTAAATAAGCTATTTGAAAATATTATACTACAAACAATAAACCAAGAAATATATATTTACCTATTATTTTGCTTAACACACAATAAGCACATTCTATATTTCATGGGTCAAAAAGAGACTAAAAACATTAAGCATTTGCAGATAGCAAAGTGTAGCTCATAACGGTTTACAATGCAACACCACACAACAGCAGCGCATAGGCCATTTTAACATTTTGTTGGTTATTCTTTAATAATCAGTTTTCTTTTAAATGTTCATAACTAAATATAAGAAAAAAAATGCAGAGTATTTCTTAATGTATTTTGAATATTCCAAATATTTTGAAACAGTTAGCTTGGTTAAAATAAGAAGAAATATGAAGATCAAAAGTGAATGTTTTAACAGAGAAAAAATATTAAATTATTGATCTGATCAATTTAAAAAAATAAGTTTTTATTACTTTATATGTTCAGTCCAGAAACAAATTTAAGACGGACAATGAACAGACAGAATGAATATATTAAATAGTTGAAACAATTAAATAATAAAATATAGTTCAATCTATTTCACTAAAACTTTCACATTCACTTCAAAAATTGATTTCTCAATGTTTCAAGGTCATGTTTTTTCACATCTTCACAAGCTGTATCAAATTAGTTAAATGTTGTCATGTTGAAAGGGGGGGGGCGGGCAGATCAATTTTATATAAACTAAAGTGCTCAAGATTATTATTTTTAATTCAAAATTTAATAAAAAACTATTATTTTATTTCCTTTTATTTTACAGTGCATTGCTATTAAATTAATAGAGTTTTTTTATATTAAGCACTGCCATTGGCCTCTGGTGAACTATTAGGAGCCAATCTATTAGATACCTGTTTTGTTGCGAATCTTCCAGCTTTTGGCGGAATATATTAGTAACCATGTGCACTTAGCAAGGGGCGAAAAACAATGATCATGGTACATCTAACAGATAATTTAAATTATTTATTTTTTGCCTTTGTGTTGTATTAATCTTTAACAATTTTTGCACTGCGAAAATGCTCAAGGAGAGCCTGTAAAATTTTATATCTATTCATACACAATTTTTTGAGGAATCGATTATGGGAGGGGGAAGGGGATAGGGATTACCAAAACTAGGGTGGAAGATATGCAAACCTTACAAATATAATAACATTTCAGATGTAAATGATAAACTGTTGAAAATGAAAAACAAGACCTTGAAACAAGAAAAAAACATTGAGTCAGATGTATAATGTTATAAATACAAGATTTAACTATGTTTTATCATTTCATTGTTTTAACTATGAGCTATGAAGGTATTCATTTGATCTGTTCATTGAGTGTCTTGAATTGTATCTGTATTAAACATATAAAGTAGAAGAAGAAGAATTATTTAGGGAAAGATATCTTTATGTACCAATATAAACCAACAGAATTCGATCATTTGGATTCAAGAGCATTTTCCAGTGTCATCTGTGATATTAGAGTATTTGAATGTTCATCAGCAAAATAATTTCATTAACAAGATTTAACAAATCTAATAAGAAAAATAATTTGAACACCACTTACACAGCAGCATCAGTACACCAATAAAAGAGATGCAAGAGTACAAAAAGGGCAGATAATAGCTGCCCAGGTCTGAAAAATAAGGAAATTAGTATATCAATTGGATGTGTATTGATAATAAACAACAATAACAACCATCATAATCATCATCATCATCATCAACTTAAGAGTTCAAGTTTGCTTGTGATGTGTATCAAGATACCTCATGAATGGTATTTCCCAACATTTGTTCATTCATAAAGGGTGATCATCTTTAATCCCTCTACATGGCTAGAAGTTTATAACATTCATTCAAACACATTCCGTACAGGTATTGGCTCTCAGCAACCATTACCAGGCATTAATAAAGCCCATCAACTTTCAATCATTAATTTTTTCCTACATAATTCACACTTTTGAAGACTCAAGTTTGAGATAAAGAGATAAGAAGTTTGAACTCTAATGTGACCTACTTTAGGAGGATCACAAAATAACAGAAACAGACCCTATCTACAGTAAGCAGAGAACCTGAGGATGAACTGAGCTATTGAGAAACATACAACACCAACAAGGGCTAATGGAAACAAAAGAACTGATTAGATACTTATTGTGACATTTCTGAATTCAATTCAATTGGAACAAAATTACTTTTATCATAACAAGTTTGGAAAAATAGAATCAAGATACATTTTATTTACATTAAAATACAGAAATTCTTTCACAGCTTAAGGAAGGGTTTCTAAATTAAAAACATAAATTCCAACTTATAATATCCACATCATTACAAAGCTTCTGCTGAGGCTGGATAGAATGAGAGATGAGAAAGGCCAAGAGGCGCTCTATGAGAAATGTAAGCAAGAGACCTCACACTCTAAGAAGAACTACTCTATTGATATACACCAATTAACCCGTTTAACGGTCAATTGCTAAAATTCTGAATTCTTAAATTTTAAGAAAATTTTAAACTTTTCCAGACAGTCATTAAAACACTTACATTCTCATAAGGAACAAAAATACCTCCAAACACTAGAGTGAATGAAAATCCACTAAGAGCTTCACCTTAAGGAAAGTTCTTGTGACTGAAAAAATGGTAATATCGTCTCCATCTTTTGCTCCTCATGAATGTTGGTGTTTTTGTACAGCCCAGTTCACTGAATTATCTTCATAAATAAATTTTGTTTTAGCAAAAGTATTAAAAAGTAAATACTCACTGAGCAAAGTGTGGATGTTGGAATGGTCATCATCCAGAAGAGATGACATAACATATGTCATGCCAAATACTATAACAGCAAGCAAGCAGAAGACTATAATAGTCTCATACACCCTAGCCATAATTCCCTGTAAACAAATAAATATGAAGTTGGTATAGATGGTTAAAAACTAGTAATATTTTATGACAGGTGATAAATTAGAATTATATACATATTTTTGGGAGAAAGAAAAATCAAATTACATCACTCCAACAAGCAATTAAAATACAGGTATCCAAATCAAATATGTCTAATTTGTTTTAGGTTCATAATTCACATTGTCATTTATCGATAACAAACATTTTCAAAAAAAAAAAAATAATAATGATATTTGAACATCGTTCAATTGCTCTTTCAATTTACGCGCTTCGGTTCGAATTGCGCCTTCTCATTGGCCGTCCCCACTCCTAGAATGAGTCTTATCCCCACCCTGTCCACGCGGCGCGGGGTTGCACTCGAAGTTGCTCGCGCGCGGCTCTCGAGGTCAGTCAACGTGCAAAAAGCTCAGCAGGCCTGGTCTAAGGCCGCTTGCCCACGCCGCCACAGCAGCGCGCGTCGGTCGATCATCAGGGCCCTCCGGCGCAGGTAACCGAAGCAGGTACCTGCTGCGGTCCCTTTGTCCGTCGTCGCCGGAGGGTCGGCGAAGAGCCCTGATGATTGACGTTCGCGCGCTTCTGTGGCGGCGTGGGCAAGCGGCCTAAGGGGACAATGCTGCCCGTAAATCCAAAAGTTTGCACTTTGCCACTGCACCATTGTCGACCGGGAACTCCCAGGTTCGAGCTTCGACAGTGGCGAATTTTCGACACTATACCAGCTTTTGACCATGCACTTGACGTAAATCAGATGTTCATGGTTTCATCCAATCGAGAGGTTGAACGTCCCCATTGTAACGTCACCAGCGTCATATAAGCTCCGGATTGGATGAAACCGCAACAGGTGATTTCCGTCAAGCGCACGACTAAATAAATCGTACGAGAGCTAGATAGCAAGTTGAGAGACCAATCGGTAGCTCAGAGCTTGTTCTGGCTGGGGCGGTGGTGGAGATGGAAGGAATAAAACGAATTCCGACGGGTTTAGGACGGCGCCGGATCTAGGGAGCGACGAACAGGGCGCCTTCCCGAGATAACGTGCCTACACTTACGGCAGTGATCCGTTGAGTTAAAGTTTCAGGAAACACTTACTTATTCAAACATTGTAATTGAACGCAATTTATTAAAACAAGCCCCACGCATTGCGTTTTCATGAATAGGCTTCAACTTCTGCGCTCGAAGTGGAGCAGGAAACGCGATAAGAAAGGACTGCAAGGAATGTTTGTCAGATTTCGATCGAGTTACCTACGCGCTTTATGAAATGTGAGCCAGTATGTGCCCACTACGTTTGCTTCACAAATATTCGTCCATCCTTGTTTCCGAGATGCAATTTCCGTGAAGCAAAGGTTAAGTTTGACAATTCACGGCGAAAGTAAAGAGGTCACAGAAGTGCAGCATTTCTTTGCTGTATTTCACAGAAAGGCGATTCCAGGTACCTTTATTTAGTTAATTTGATTCCGTGATCTTTCGTTTCGAACTGTTCGAAGTGCGCACCACCTATGCTTCATTATTCCTTTGCCGCACAAGGCAGGGCAGGAGAGACGGGGCGAGAGGAAAGAGAAAGAGAAAGAGAGAGAGAGAGGGAGAGAGAGAGGGAGAGAGGGGGGTGGAGCGAGGACGGAACGCGCGACGCAGAGCAGTACGAACAGCGACGCAGAAGACGAACAGCGGAGCAGAGAGACGAACAGCGACGCAGAGAGACGAACAGCGACGCAGAGAGGACGAACAGCGACGCAGAGAGACGAACAGCGAACGCAGAGAGACGAACAGTGACGCCAGAGAGAGAAACAGCGACGAGAGAGACGAATAGCGACGCAGAGAGACGAACAGCGACGCAGAGATGCAGGGTGACGGGGAAGTGAAACGGCGCCTATAAGAGAGTAACACCGAGAGTGGCAGAGAGAGATAGCAAGAAACAGACCGAGAGAGACACAGACAGAGGCAGAAACAGAAGCACACAGAAAGAGAGAGAGACAGGGAGAGGCAGAGAGACAAAGATAGAAGTTTTCTTTTTCACGAGGAATGAACATGAACAAAATCGGGTAATGCCGGGTATTTTGCTAGTAATTTTAAAAACTACTCACAATTTGAATATAGTATAAGTATTATTCACGAGGAAATGAATAATAAACATTTCATTATGGACACAGGATCCATATTCCCTTTTCACGCGTTTTCTAACCGCCCGTGCGCCATGGGATGTCTCGTCTCTTACCGCAGAGATACGGGCCCGCTCGCACCTCTCAGGGTAAGCACGCCTCCTGGCGCTGCCCATTGCCTCTGAGAAAAGGCCCTGTAGTGCGCGCAGAACAGACGCATGCTGTATCGATGCTTAACGCATGCTCGTTGGGCGTAGGCCAGCGAATTATCTTTCTGCCTGCACGTACGGAAGACTGATTTTCACTCGCATGCAAGCTCCGTAGTGCGTGTGTTAACTGATTGGTTGACGAGTTAACAAGCGTAGAAAGCGAATTATTAGTATTTATGTGGTGTTAATTTTCATTTTAAATTAGTATGCCGCGGATTATTAGCGTTCCTTATTTTTTTTAAATTTAAATCTGATTTGACCTGAATCTTATGACAGATACAGTGAATGAACCACTACGTTCTACACGCGCAAGTTATCTTTATATTCCACAACGAGGGGTGCGGGAAGAGGAGGGCTCTGACTGCATCATGGCTTGAAAGGCCGCACCAACTACAGGGATGAACATTGCGCGTCAAAGCATGTTACGAGAAATACTACGATTGTTTTGAAGGTTCGAGGTGGATGTTGACAGAATTGTAAATTGGTACGTACCGTTCCGGGTCGGACCTAATTAACTCAACGGCGCCATGCTATTCAGCGCTGGACAAGGACTAGAGACACCGTGTGTAAAGAAAATTTGCGCGAGCACTGTTTTCTCGTCTTACCAATGTAGAGAAAAAGGAATTTTGCATAATGGTTGACTTACTCCTATATTGAGTACGATTGTACATCGTCTTGTCGAGAAAAATATAAGAAAATTCAATTCTTCGTGGTATGATGAACACAAATGGCTAACAGGTAGAAGAGTTAAAGCTAAGCTTTCTTGTAGGCCATGTTTTTCATTGTCAATTAAGGAGAGAACTTGGAACAGAGATGGATATTTTGAAATGAAAAATTATGAAATATGTTAGATCAAAAGCTAAACGAAAACATGAAATGTCAAAAGGTCACACACGTAATTCAGTCTTCTTAATCTTAAACACATTATAAAAATAAAATAAAAAAAATTTAAAAAAATAAAAAAAAACGAATTCGATTTGAATGGTCAGAGCAACACAAACACGCAACAGTTTTTTTTAAAGAATTTAAATACGTTGAAATCACGACTGCGCGGGCTTTATGGAAATATTTTGATATGTAATGATATCAGTGAGACTGTTTTGAATAAATTTAATAAAATGGCCCCCATGCCCCATTCCCGGGATTTCCCGCTGTTCAGAAATCTGTTTTGCCTTCCCTGAGTATTTGTTCACGAGCCGCCACTGGAATTCAATGCCGATTGAGTTAAGCGACAAAATTCAGGAAAGCTGGATCTGCAATGTGGATCCAGCAGTGAGAATTTTCACCCGAATTTTTAAAATTGGATAGCTCTGTGATTGTTTAGCAGTGAGAGAGGACAGTGCTATAAAATAATTAAAAGTTAACATAAACATTTGCAACTGAATTATCATGTAACAAATAACTCTAATCAAAAAATTGTGCTACTTTAATATTTAGAACTCCTTTTCACTGTTATTTTGAACTAGGTTGAAATGAATATTTGTTAGCGCTCGTATTTGGAGTTTTGTTAGCTCTAGGACTTCGTTCACTGTCTCTTGGTTGAAACGTGTACCACAAAGTTAGTAGAACTTTAGAAACAAGTAAACAAAGGTGTTGCTCATAATCAACATTGTTGCTTGTCTCACAAATTGAGAATTTATCTGAAGACTATCTGTCAGAGTTCAGTCTTCACAAGTAGTACAAAAAAAAGTAAGCAACTCATACGAAAGAGTTTTTGACAGATTCATTCCAGAATTCAGGTCTGGTTCTTATTGTAGTATCGTCCGAAACACACAATTCCTCCGCCGAGACGTCATTATATGTACAACATACAATTTACGTACATTTTATGTATTGTATGTTCGGGACACATCCCTGTAATCTTCCACCAATCGATACTCTTATCACAATAACAAGCAGTAACTTATCTTCAATACTGACCTTTCGATAACCTGTAAAACCCTCTGACTCCGTGAAGAGGTAAGCAAATGGAAGAAAAGCGAAGAGCGACAAGTTGGAAAAGAGAAACACGTAGCTCCACATTCCTGTAAAATAATAAGCATTATTGTTAATAAGAATAATTTGAACACCGACTATCACGACTATTAACCAACTTTCGTTTTAACGTTTCAAAAATATGTAAAAAATAAACAAATACATTTTTAAGAAAATACTTGGATGAAACATTGGGCCACAATTAGAAACGGCATTTAAAAATGTTAAGTTATTTAAATTATTTAAAACTTAATTGGCATATTGCGAAACAAGATTACAATCAACTTCCGTCAAGGGAAGACTGAATGATATTATTGCAATGACCAATTTGATGTAAAAAAATAATTACATCCTTTTCCAGACATACATTTAATTTAACACACACATTTTTTTTCAAATTCACGCAAATGATATGATTAGGCAGATTTTGAGACTACAGGGTAATTTTTTTTAAGAGAACAACGAATGCAATATGAATTTCTCACCTTGAATGAGGGAGTGGTTGAGCCACTGCACGTAGTAGCTCTGTGGGTAGAGAGTAAGCACTTCGTTTGAGGCGATGGACACAGGTAACAGCAGGGCAGCGCCTCCAGCAATAGCCAATGAGAAAGTGCACAGCCACAGACTGCAACAAAAAATGTAATTTTTTTTATGGAAGTTCACATTTGATAATAAAACAAAGAATCACACAATAATGGGCAAAAGCATCGTTTCAAGTAATACGAGTGTGTCAAGAGTTTATTTTCATTTATTTAACGTCACAAAAGAGCTTGAAAGACTAAAAGCTATGGAAATTAGACTATGACGAAGAGGAAATGTTTGGTTGTCCACCAAAAATATCGAAGATGAATGAGCGGCGGATTCACGTGTCAAGGAAGCGAAAAGTCCCATAACATTTTGTTCTTTTGAATGTAATTACTAAATAAAATATTTGCATTGATGATCAAGGGAAACTCTGTAGAGTAATTACCGCCAGTGCGGTCGATGTAGCTGCCTGAGCCTCAAGGTACCTCCCCGCTACCCTCGAAGTCCAACGAAACTTCAGTTTTAACTTTCACACCTCATAGCACCTCCAAGGGATGCCCCTTTTCAGAAAATAATAAAAGCAAGAGTTCGTCGCGTTAGTTTTACTTTCTCGCCTACTAGAGAGAAAGTATTGTAATGCTCCGGAACAACTAGCTATTTTCTGACACAAATACTTATTGCCGGGCCCTGATAATGAAAAAGTAGATAAATCTTGTTCCTATGTATACTAAATTACTTTAACATGCTATTCAATCACAATCCACGTTTGGCGGGTCCTTGATATCGAATAAACCGATTGACGGCCAAAGTCTATTTCCGTCTCTCCGTCTGTCTGTGAGCAATGCTAGCAGCTAAATCGGACGCAGGACTTTCTCCAAAATTGATATTTTCCCATCAATATGACTAATGACGAGGCCCTTTGAATTTCAAACGGACATTTTGATATTTGGGAATACTTTGTATGAAGCCTCAACATTTTCAAATTTTCTTAAGACTTCAATTTATTTCTTAATTTTCCACGCTCTAACAGAGCAAAAGACGTGAAAAGAAATTGCGTCTAATGCGCTGCAAATATTGTAGCAGTTAAATGTATAGTTGTTTATTTTATTTGTAGAAGTAAGAAATTATTACAGTTCCTGACTAGAGAAATTAATGCAGATATGCACCCCAGGCGCTTTGTGTGAACTGGTTGAATTTCACTGCTCCGAGTAGGAATTTCTTGCATTTTCTCCTACCATTTAATAAATATTCATATCTCAATGCAGCATATTTACTGAAAATGGATTGTCAGGATGTGCAAACATTTGATCCCATCGCGATATGAGCCCGAAACCGTCTGCTACCCAGATGCTCTAATGACTGAACTATGGAATCGAGCACTGCATTCGTGACAATTTAATGATCTTATAGCAATGTTATGTAACGGGACAATTGGCATGAAAGGTGAAGATGGAATTGAAATGGCTCTGACACACGGTATATAAAGTAGAAATGTAAATTGAAAGAACATATATTTAAAACAATAAAATAGTATTGTTGCAATTTTTAATATAGAAATTGAAAATTTCAATGGATTAATGCAATAAGTACAAGCAATTATTTTACAATAGAGCACAAAACAAACAGCTATCATAGAATATGCTAAGCTAGAACTCTCCTCCTAGATACTTAACTCGACCAAGAACAATCTTCGGAAAAGGATTGTAGCATGATATGAAAACTTCGGATAAAGATAGGAAAACAAAAGAATGAAATAAGGAATAAAGAAGAAAAAAGGAAAACTTATGAAAATGTTAGTATCATAAGAAAAAAATACTACTAATCAAAGTATATTGAATAACGCGAAATTGTCAAAAAAATCATTTATAATAAAAAAAACAACTGTCGGTTAAAACAATGAGTGATAAAAGGAGACATATGGGAGATAAGTGCAATTTGATGGAAGTCGTTTAATTGTTTCATTTAACCACGAAACATGACATTAAGTGACAGCTATTATCCAATTAGTGACTGAATCGTCTCCACCGCATCCAGAACTGCACGGAGACAAACTCTTGAAATTTCATTTGGAAACAAAAGTATGATTCATAGGCAATTGTCTTATTCCATTTCGCCCTTATCTTAAGGCGACTCCACACACGCGGCATTCAGCGAATCCCGAGCAAACCGCTCATCGAATACCGAATAGTGTGGACGGGTTGCTTGCGATTCGCCGCGCGCCGAACATTCGGTGCGCGCCCTACCCACCGCGTGTCGCTCTTGAGGACACCTCAAAGGGAGCGAACATTCGCAGAACACATCAGCTGTTCGGGATTGGGCGAGCAGTACGTAGCTCGCTGTTCGGCGAATGCCGAATGTGCGGAGCCGCCTTTGAGCGTCCCGCGTCAAAATCCATCCGGAGGAAAAGGAGCGCCAACCCAGCAGTACCTGATCTTGTAGACCGTGGCCTCGTCGTCATCGCAGGAGAAGAAGTCCTCGCGGTCGCGGCGGCGAAAGCGGCCGATGGCGGCGAACGACGCCAGGTTCAGGGCCAGCAGCAGCAGGAAGAAGATCTGCAGCAAACAAGCAGCACAGCTCCATTTTATTCATTTTCGAAACAATAAAGACTATGTGATGTACGGGGGAGAGGTACAATCTGCGCACGTTTTCTACAGCTCCAATCCAACCCCATACGCACCCTTATCTACACACTATTGAATGATGAATTAAAGGTACCAATAAAACGTGCCTACAATTTTTCGCATCTCTGCATTAGAAAACTTATTCGCATCGGTAAATGAACTACACATTTGTTTTCATGGTCCTGGAAAAAAATAATATACTAATAATAAATAAAACTAATAGTAATACTGACACACTGCCAGTAGTACTTCTTATTAATGAACCTAAATGCATGTCCACGACAGGATGAGACAACGAAGATAAATACACCGTGAGCTAACATAATGATAAACTAATAGCCGTTTTATTTGTTCACCATGAAAGTACACATTATGTTAGGGTAAGATTAAAAGGATAACTTCACACAATCTGCAAATACACGTTCTGATCTAGTGTACAAGAATGAAAAGAAAAGAAAAAGAAAGAAGAAAAAAGGGAAAAAGAAGAAGAAAATGTCCTAAATTACTATTTCCGCGTAAGTATGTGAGAAATAGCATCTATACCAGGACTTATTAATGTGCGAAGGAATGAGATCGCTACGTTAGTTTTCAGGTGAAGTAATAGCATAAAAGGGAGCAGGAAATTATAACAAATAGTAGGTTTAAAAAAATATCTTATACGTCTCTTAACATATCTCAATGTCTCTTCAAAAATGCTTACATTTTAATGTTAAAAATATAACCCTCATGATAAAATTCAAGCATGGCAATAAAAGTTTTAAAATTTGTAAGGTCCGCGAGTCACAATTTTAATTTTTTTGAAAATTTGAATTTTGCTTACTTCTGTAATGTCCAAATATAATTGGGGAGTTTTTGAAAGCGGGTATTTCTCTATTTTAAACGAAGCAGACAGCGCCGTTTACAATAACACACATGCCCAACGGAAGATAATCTAAAGAAGGTTATTTCAACAAAACTATCATTTATGATTTGACAGTGCAAAGTGCAACTTTGTTTTCAGGTAACGGCGCGTCTTTAAAAGAACGGTTGATAAACAACTGCTCAGCAGTCCCCGTTCCTCGCTGACTGAACGGGCATCAGACGCGGATGCTTACTATGATTATTACGATGACCAGATTGACACAGACCAGATGGAAACCCAAATCTTTCAAAATCAGAAAGTCAGAAAAACGATTTAGAAGGTTGTGGAGAGTTCGCTTCACATGAAAAAGTGGAAGTTGGTTTTGCAGCAAAATCTGATGAACGAGAAAACCACATGAATCACCGCAGTAATGCCATCTTCAAATTGTTTTAAAAATTAAACTGCGATTGGTCGAGGGCAAATGCTAGAAAAACAAAACTGTACCAAAACGTTTTCGTGCGTACTGTGGAATTCATCTCGCCACATCACATTTCCTCAGTAGAAAAAACTTTCGGGGCGTCGAAATTATCCTACACGTTATACGAAGATTGCCGGAGTTCCTTAACGAGTAAAAAAAACTTGCTCACAGAAGGGAAATGAGGCTTTGCCGTAATAAGAGGCGTGAAAAAGTGGGTTTCAAAGTTTACCCCACTAAGCGGAACGAGGGAACGCAATAAATGGTTTTTTCCCTTCGTGTCGTCCCGTGCTGTTTCCCGTGGCCGACCATACACTCGCCGCTACTCTGAATAGAACATCGTACCGCAGCCATCGCAGATATTCCACCATTAGCGGGAACATCTCATTTCTTTTATTAATGACATCATCAAAATGGTTTTGTTACAAAGGTTAAATAAGTATAGAAGAGATGAACGACTTTTTTAAACCAATGTCACGGCGGCCAATTATGTTTACCACTACATATCCGCATTGCACTGCCCACATCTACAAATTGTTGAGAATCCTGGATTGAAATCCATTGAGCCCCAGAAATCCTTGCGTCATTTCATTCGTATAAATTGCAAGAAAGTTCACTTTTTAGTCCGCTGTAAGTGGAGTCCTGTTTTTTTAATGTTTGAAAGATTATTTAATGGCTGCAAAAAAATTTGCGCTGGCTGTAATATCTAAAATCCATATGAATAATCTGGAGGTTGTCTCGGAATAAATATTACTGTTACAACCTCTAGGCAAGCAGAATTTCGGAAACTTTATCACCCTTTGCCTCTGGAACATACGGGTCGAAATTTCATAAAACGGAAAATACACAAGCTACATTTTGTCCCTGAATGTTAGGCAACCCTGCAACGCACAAGTGTATAGCAGGTATCTCCGTGACTACGTTAGAAGGTGGCTCGCAGTACACTCGCGAACAAGGAATTTGCCCAAACAATCAGCGGCAACGTCACAACGTCACAGGGCGTGTTCAATTATGGGATCTCATGCTGCGCCAAAGGCTGGGCGACCAATTGTGCGCGAGAAGGCTCATTGCGTTCGAGCGCGTTCCTGCGTCTCGCCTCCGCTGGGCGGCGCTGTTTGTTCTCGCGCAGCCGCCGCGCGCTTCCAGTGCAAACACCGGCTTAGGTGCTCAGGCTTGATGCCATGGCAGTGCTTCTGACTGGGGGGGTCCTACGTTTTCGAGTTCCAGACGCAGACAGGTTTTTTTAACACTATCTGTTACACACTAGTCGTGTTTCAGCCGCTGACTGGAGAGAATTCTAGCGACGGCTGCTCTGAAAGAACATTGAGGAATAGTTGGTGCCGTGCGTTCACCGATCCAATTCACACGAATGCCAAACAAATGGCTACGGGCTTCGCGCGATCTTGCTTCCTCTTCCTTGACCTATGCTCAGCCCACTTATACTAACAGGGCTTACACTACCACACCACGGCGGAGACAGTTTGCGAGCTTACAGACTGTCCTGTGTGGGTCGGCCCCCTGCTGGTGTGAGACACCTGCGTTGGCGAAAAAACCGAAAGGATCTCGCCCATCCAGTGGAGGAAGATCACCACCACCTTTTCCCGCGATAGAATCGTGCACGTACACTTACGGGACGAACGGAACATTATCAGCTGACGAGCCCGAATTCACAATCAATCCATCATTTCGAGAAAAATATGTCCCTCCGCCTCCAAAGTAGCCGCGCAATCCGACGTGTAGGTTGATGCCCTATCTTACCATCCAGTGAGGGAGGAGCTCCTTCCGCAATAAACCTTTTACTATAGTATGATTTATTTAGCCGTGCAATTGACGTAAATCAGCTGTTACGGATTCATCCAATCGGGAGCTTAAACGTCGCTACAGAGACGTCACTATGGGGACGTTCAAGCTCCTGATTGGATGAATCCGTGAACAGCTGATTTACGTCAAGTGCACGATGAAATAAATCCCGAGTATATACCAACACATTTGGTTATGTGCGTCCCGGCCGGGCCCGGCCGTTGCTCGGGGACCGGAGCTCGGCGCATGCGGGCCCTGGGCGGAAGGGCGACGGCGGCGCGGCGCGGCGGGAGATTCAAGGGCAAGGGGCGGGGCGCGGCGCGCGCACAACAAAGGCGGGAAGGGCGCGGAGGAAGGCGTGGCGCAGCGGGGCGGAAGGGCGGGCGATGGCGGCGACGCCTCTTCGCCGGTCGCGCTCCGCTGCCCGCGCGCGTGGCAGCCGCCGCTGGACCGCCTTCGCCGGCGCGCACTCGTTCGGGGCGAAACGGCACCACTCGCTGACGGGCGGAGCAAAGGATATACTAGCAATGTTATGCACAGGTTGCATCTTTTCTTTGTGGCACTACCAACGCGTACAGAAGTGGCCCGCTCTTTGTTACAAACGTGTGTGATAGCATAACTGCGATATTCGGCCGTGAACTGCCCTTA